GGGGGGGGGGTCACCTTTCTCAATGTTGAAGATCACTCGTCTCCTCTTAGCCTGGGTGTGTTATTATCTCGGGTCGGGGGAGTTTTTAAAAATAAATTCGAGACGGAAAATGAATAAATACGAGGCACTCAGCATTCTCTCTGTCTTGCAAACTGCAAAAAAAAGTAACAAACTTGAATAATAATGACACATACACATATATATAGAATTAGTGGTTATAACATAACAGTCTCAAGGCTGTACAAAGGGGCAAGGCTGAGCCCTCCTCAGTATGTCAGCAGTTAAATGTGTATGTTTTTTTTTTGTTGGTTTTTTAAAATAATTTTGTGTGCGAATGTGTTTCACTTAACAATAAATTCAGGAAGTTCCTCGAGGTTTTTCGACTTATGGGTGGTGTTGGTCGCTGTTGAATCTGATTCGCTCCGATTCTGTGATTTTTGATTGGACGTGAAGTGGCGTGGCGGCTGATGTTTTTGTTTTGTTTTTTCATTTAAATTTTTTCTTCCAAATCTCTGCCGGCACACACGCATCCTGTGTGCGACAGGAAGTGAAAACCGTGGATGGCGTGCGCACAAAAATGAGGACAGAACAGTGATGTTAAAGGGATAGAAAATGCACTTTTAAGAAACCCCACACAGCCTCATGCAATGGTTGTGTGTGCAGTTCGTAGTGGAATAAAGGAAAGAATAATGACGGAGCCCTTTAAAATGGATCTACTCTTGCAGCATAGTTCTGTATGTAGCGCATAGTGCGAATAGGGGTTAGAGACTGACTGGTGGATGGGGGGGCAACAGGGGAAAGGGTTGAAAGGCAGAATGGGGGTTATTGTCTGTGGGGTTTAGGATGGTGTGTGCCGTGCTCTTGGTTAGCATGTTTCTCATGATAACCAGGAAACATTGGGTTGCTATATTTTCTTGTCTAGAATGATGGAAAAATGGGCAAAAATGCCTGTGACATCTTCAGTTCATTTAACAGTACAGCTGACACCCATGAACGCTAGTTTTAAAGCTGCACTCTTCTTCTTTTCTTACTTTCTTTTCCATGGTAGCAAAGCTAGAAGTAGCATAGCATCGGAAAAGGAACTGAAACGGGCTTCAACAGAGGACAAAAGACCGGTAGCAACAATAGAAAGGCTCTCTGCTGTGTCCGTCACTCGGGCTCCGGGCTCCAGTCGAATAGACAGAATGTCCGTCTCAGTAAGTAATAATATAATATACCGTAGTTATCAATAAGTCTTAGTAGATCATACCTGTATAAGCTTAAATAAAGAAGTGAATGAAAAGAATGGCTACTCCAATATTGAGTAATATGACCATCACCACCAGGATAGAGCTGGAGCCCTGAAAGACAAGAGAGGAGAGAAGAAGAAGTTCAGTTAATGCACGAATTCTCTCGATGGAAACAAATGAAAGAAAAACAGACGAAAAAATAGAAAACGGAAAAAAGACTCCACAGCTACAGTTGATTAAAACCACATTAGAACACTTTGTTCACAAATATCCTACAGACGAACAGACCATGTTATTTTGGAAATGTGAGCCTGAGAACTGCACTTAAGTACAACTTTTTAGGTATTGTACTTGAGTATTTTAATTTTATGGTGCGTTATACTTCTATTTCACTACATCTCAGAGGAGAATGTTGCACTTTTTACTGCACTACTTTAATCTTACAGCTCGAGTTACTACTTTACTGATTAAGACTTTACAAACCAAACGTGATTAGTCTGTAACATATGATGCTGTGCTGTAGATTAAACTATCCAGCAGTATATAAAGTTCAAATCTGCTCCACCTCCCCTGGCTGTAATTAAAATGCTGCTCATGTGTTAAAGTAATCAGTAATGATATTCCAATAATATGACTCGGTGAAAGGAACCATTCTGCCCAACGAGTACTTCTACTTTAACACTTTTACAACATTTTACTGTTAAAAAGTGTAGGACTTTTATTTGTAACAGTATTTTTTACACTATATTACTACATTTACTTAAAGGGGACATGTCATGCTCATTTCAAGGGTCATACTTGTATTTTAGGTGTCTACTAAAACATGTTTACATGCTTTAATGTTAAAATAAACCTGTATTTTTCTTACACTGTCTGTCTGAATACACCTGTATTCACCCTCTGTCTGAAACGCTCCGTTTTAGCGCCTGTTTCTTTAAACCCATCTCCCAGTCTGCTCCGATTGGTCGGTGTTTCCGCACCTGTACCGTCGCCGTCTTCGCGGCGTCACTGCAGCCGGCAGGGACTCGCTGTTTGTCTCAACTACACCAAGTTTAGCTGCAATTCTCCCGGCGGCTGCATAGTTGTCACATCACAAACCGTACGTAAAGTCCTGACGGCTCGTTTAAAGGCACAGTTTGTGAATACAGGCTGTGTGGACGTCACAGTATTTATGTAGCACCTAGAACTGCCTTATAATAAAAAAAATACATGGAAATCTAACTTGCTTACAATATGGGACCTTTAAGTAAAGATCTGTGTACTTGAGTAAAATGTGACCCTGCAGGAAGAGTGCAGACTTGTGATTCTTTTATTTTCTGTCTCTACTTTATGTTATTTGCTTTGTGTTCTCTCTGACACAGAATTTCAGAGCGCAGGAGTATCTTTCCTCACTCTGGATCCCCATTTCAAACTTTTATTTTCCTGACATCATCAATTCGACTCCACACAGTCTCCTGGTTACTTTTAATACGCTATGACTTTATGTTACAGCCACCGATTCTAAATGTGTGTCTTCACTTTGGTGCGGTAAACGGCTCTAAATACTACAGTACCCATGAGCCTTAGCAGGAGCCTTTGAAGAGGCCAGTCAGAGTTAAAAATACGAAAGAGATTCAATACTTTTCATCGTTGCAGTTGAGAACAAAACAAAAGCAAAATGTGTTAATCCTGTACGATTACAGGACACTTTAAATAAACTTGAGTTAAGAATTTTTCCGTTAAACTACGTAAACACTGCTCTATATTACCTATTTTAAGCTGTTGTGGAGGGAGGGATGGAATTAGTTTGACTGATATTGTTTGGTGCTTTCAGCTTGTGGTATGAA